AGTGGCTTCAGACAATATAATCACTTCATTTCATTCCTCTCCATCACCTGAGCCTGACAAACAGCACTGAAAGCAGTTGGCTGACTACTGATAAGCCCTTTTGACTTCAAACATCCTAATACAACATTAATCGCAAATACCAAACAAGACATTGTTGGATTAATCTGCTCTCTTCCACTCTTAATTAGCAGGAAGCCTAACCAAGCCATTCCTACATGGAAGCTGCAGCTCTGGCCTTGGGTTAGAGAGGGAGCAATGGGGAAGAAAGAATAAAGTTGTTTCTTTTCTATAACTGGAGGAGATCTCTATTTTGCAGAGATTAGGAAATGCTCCAAAAGCCACATCTCCTTATTCAGAGACCAGTTAGTTCTGAGGCGTCCATGTGGTGGTTTCACATTCCTTCAATTCTCTCCATTCCCTGAGGTGGAGAGGGAAGAAGGAAATGACAAGAATGCAGTAGGGCTGATGGGATTACATAGTCTGCCAAAGGAGCTTGTCCATACTAAGGGCAAAAGGCTCATCAAGGAAGGTGTCTGTGTGTATCTTTCAGGGAGGTGTTGCAGATAATGCAGGGTCTGGTAGCATTCCAGCTCTCCTCTTCCACATTCTGGAGCCCTGAGAAGCCTGCCCTTCATCAGTCATTCTGGAAGAGGACTGAAGATTGGGCTAATTCATGATGGTGAGCATTCACCCTGGCTTCCCAGGACACAGTGGTCCTCTTTGCTCCCCTCTGACCCTCCCCACATAAAACCCTGTGAGGCAGCCACAAGATTCATGTGCACACTTCTGTCCTCTTTACAACCACTCCTTTGCCAAGGACTGTGTATTTGTTTTAGTTAAAGAAGCTTGTGACTGAAAACAGCTGCAGACTGAGTGGAAAATTAGCACCTAAAAATAGCCCCAGCCTGAGAGCACAATGTGCATTGATTTTACTATGAAGAGTACAAGAGCAGGGAGATGGTGACTAGGCTGGTATGTTCTAATACGCCTCACCCTGCCATATTTAGAGTGCATGTAGTAAGCCAGGCAGCCAAGTTGGTCCATGTAGGTATTTGACTGTTTTGGAAGGGTTCCCAGCAGAGCCACTCCAACTACAACAAATTAGTGTCATATTTTTATAAGCTGACAGTGAGGAAATCACCCCACAATATTACCATGTTCTGCAGAGAACAGAGAATATGTAACTGCTGAATAAGGAAGACAAATATCTCGCTGTTTGTTGCCACTCAAGGCATTTTCCGAGAACAAATTATCAGGTCGATATTATAATTTCCTCCCACCTGCTGTAGGCTGGGATGTGACCTAAAGTTCAGTCCAGTTCTAGATGCAGGTCATGGACCCAAATACATTAATTTCTCATGCAGTTTGGCCAACTTCAGCAAGCCAATCCCATGCAGCAGTTCAGTAAAAATATCTGTTCAGATTCATTACCACAGGCAGCATGGGTGCTGGTAGAAAGCACAGCTCCACCAGAGATATCTTTTTTATGTTATGACCATTATGAATATGTTTTTTAAAAGGCTAACTCAAGTAATGAAACAAACCCTTGTTTTAAAGCTGGAAATGATGTTGGTTCCTGCACTTGTGCTTGATAGGGGCTATAGTTCTGCCTTTAACCCTCTTTCCTCCTTACCCTTTGAAATGTTACTGGCTTATTAACTGAACAGTGTAAACCCATGCTGAGAGGTTGAAAAGTGCCCTGTCAGTTTTCAAATTGTTTCTGTGTCAACTACAGGTCTAATAGCACCCTAACTACTAATAGAGGGATCTGCTCCCTGGAGAGTGTGTCAAGAAGACACCAGGCTCAAAGGATGGATGTGAGTGAAGAAGTTCAATTCTGAAAACTTTAGTGCTGTTAGACCCCTTTAAAATCATGTACTTGGTACATGTTTGCCTGCAAACTATGACCAGATTCTCATATCCTTTTAAACAACTAACTAATCTGCATTTCATAGGACTTACTCATATTTTTAAAAATTTATTTATTTAGAAGACAATTTATTTAGAAAACTCATTTGGTCTTCATGCAAAGGAAGCTGAGAGAAGCCCAGCACTTCATCTGTGACTGGCAGTCTCCCTCACCAAAGGGATATTCAGGGTGGTGCTTTAGGAGAAGCACCCCAAACTCCTCTCTGCAATTGGCAGAAGGGAAACCTGGCTGAGGTTATGAACATCCAGGCTTGTTTCTGACTTGCTCACAAGTAGACTGGAGCAATTATCCTGAAGTGCTGCCTTCAGAGGAACCAGTGAGGAAGCACTGCTACCCTTTGAGGTGAATTAATGCCAGTGGTGTTCTTGTTTGAGGGCAGCAGTGGCAGGTGTTGATCCTTTCCAAAGTCGATGTCCTGGTTTGGGCTGAGGTAATTTCCTTCACAGTGGCTGGTGTGGGGCAACAATTTGTATTTGTGCTGATCTCAGGGTTTATAATATAGAGATGGTTTTGTTATGGCTGAGCAGGGCTTACACAGAGCCAAGGGCTTTTCTGCTTTTTGTACTGCCACACTGGCAAAAGGCTGGCGATGAATGTGAAGCTGGGATGAGATACACCCAGGACAGGTGATCTCAACTGACCAAAGGGATATTCCAGGCCATGTAGCATCATGCTCAGGATATAAAGTGGGGGAAGAAGTGGGGATATTTGGAGTGATGTCATTTGTCTTCCTAAGTCACTATTACATGTGATGAGACCCCACTCCCCTGGGGATGGCTGATCACCTGCCTGCCCTTGGGATGTGGTGACTGGATTCCTTGTTTTCCTTTGCTTTTGTGTGCAGCTTTTGCTTTCCCTGTTAAACTGTGTTTATCTAACTTAAGCTGTGCCCAGGGGAAATTTAGGTTGGATATTAGGAAAAAGTTTTTTACAGAAAGGGTGATAAAGTAGTGCAGTGGTCTGCCCTGGGAAGTGGTGGAGTCACCATCCCTGGATGTGTTTAAAAAAACCTGGATATGGCACTCAATGCCATGGTTCAGTTGAGGTGTTAGGGCATGGGTTGAATTCAATGATCTTGAAGGTCTCTTCCAACCTGGTGATCCTGTGTGATCTCAACCCACAGGTTTTCTAGCTTTTGCCCTTCCAGTTCTCTCCCTGGTTCTGCTGATGGGGGAGTGAGGGAGCGGCTGCATGGGGCTTGGTGAGTGGCTGGGGTTAAACCACGGCAGAAAGTTGTGCCCTGGTTTCAACCTGGTGTTGCCTGAACAAGCACCCATAGTTCAACCTTGATTTCACTGCAGTTTTTTGAGGGAGGGTGACATCTGAGACCCACGCTTGGGAGATGCTATATATTGAGGTTTGTGTCTCTCAAACCTTTTGCAGATAACTAACACAGTATGCTGGTGTGCCAGTGTACAAATCACTTCCATACTGCACACTTAGCATCCTCACAACCTGACATATAAATGTGAATGAAACTTGTTATCTGAAACACAATCTATTTACCTGGAAAGAAACAGTTTGTGTATTTCTGTAAACATTCACAGGCTGTCCACTTTAGTGGCGCTAGTATTTTTAATTTTTCTAAATAAAGAATTCTTGCACATGACATGGCCCAGGGACCTGAGACAAAGTGACCTGACCTGGCTGACTAATTATAGAGTGAAGTAAATTAATTTCTGTTTAGGATATCTGTAATTAATCCATATAGTAATAAATGAATTAGTTGGTGTTGGAAAGGTATAAATAATTAATAATTGAGAAGGTGCAATCTGGTCATAGATTTAACAGAAGGAGAAGAAAGATAAAGTGCTTGATGTAAATTATTTGCTCAGCTTTACCATTTTGATAAAACATTTTTTTTACTAAGAGCAAAACCAAGTGAAACAGAAATGTCTGCATGGTTAATGAGTCAGACATAAATGCTACAGTACTTATTGGAATAGCTGATTGTGAAAGATACACCAAAACCGGCAAAATGTGTGCACACAGCAGATAAAATGGAACCATGTGACAACATTTGTGCTGTAGGAGAGACAGCTTTAAGCAAAATTGCTAAAAGTAAGTTAAAACTCATACAATTCTACAGATAATTCAAGACCTAAGGCTAAAAGAAAACAAACCTAAGAGTATTATATGTAGCCAGAAAGTTTTTCTGTATATGATTTGCATGTATGCACATCCCCAGAGTTTCCTACAAGGCTTGTAGATTACTTGAATTTAGAAACTATCACTACAAACTGTTTTCTGTGAAAATGTCATGAAGCCATTGGGTTCCTGTGGTCCTTGATAATGAAAGTAAAGGGTGGCTTGGGTTTTTATGACAGGACCAAGTCCCTGTAAAAAGGTTAATGAACGTTAGAAAAATTTGGATCTCAGTGAAACCCAAAGGCATCTAAGTTTCACAGAATGCTAGACTTTTTCTGTTGAGTACATCAGACGAACATCCCCAGGGACATAGCTTCAAAGCTAAGTACCAGGCAGAAAGGTGTCTTCAAGAGTAGAGACTCATGAAGCAAAGTCGGAGCAAGGAGGTAGGAAGACACAAAGATAAAGGGTAACAATAGTGGCAGGTCAGAAAAAGCTTCATCATAACAACTGAATTCAGTGCCCAAGGAAATAAGCAGAAACTTCAAATTATGAATGTCCTGATTTTAGGCCAATAATGAATTTTTTAATACTGGAATAAATATATTTCCATGTGTTTGCCTGCAATACAGTGTGAAGTATTACTTCCACAATGCACTAGACAGCACAGTAACCTGAATATTGAGTATCAAAGTTAATCAAATACAGCATGAAATTCCCCTGCTCTCAACTGTATTTAGAACACAACAGTTTGCCCCTTGGGAAAGTTGTCGTGTCTATGGGAAGTAGATAATTGTTCCAAGTCCATGGTTTTCTATCTTGTTTGTCCCAGGCTGTAGAACAAGCATGGGCTAGTCTAGAGGGTGCAGCCTTGCCACAAATACAGGACAGTCTTTAAAAATGCAGAAGGACTTGGGTGATGGCACTGGAATGCCAAAAAACAGCCCTTGATAGCTTCCTCCAATTCTTTTCCACAAACTAGGGACTCCAGAAGAAGAGACAGCCTGTGGGCAGAGTTCCTCACCTAAGCACCCTGAAACCAACGGGTCCCCTCGATGCCTCCAGGCTCTCCTGATCATGGATCATGGTCATGCCCTGAGCTCAGACAGTGGACTGTGGCAGAGCTGTGAGAAACCAGCCCTTGGCTAAGGTCGCTGTCACTGTGTTCCATCTGGTGTGCAGGTGGAAAAAACACCAATTTCAACATCTGATGAAGAGTCCTGTGAACTGAACACCAGCTTGATCAGCCTGGTTTGATTAAGTAGGAGACAGCGAATTTCTGATGAAGTACTATGTTAATACTTACTGCTCTGACTTACTAAGGCTCAAATTTTCTCGTGAAAATTTAGATTTAAAAAAAGCTGGAAAAATGATTTTTATTAATTTAGATTAATTAAATTAGATTTAGTGTTAGCTTTAGATTTAAATTTAGCTTAATATCCAACAGAGGTTTGTCTTCTCAGATAACTAGTGAAATATTGGAGCCTAATACATGCCTCCAAAAACTTTCATGAAGGTAAAAATAATAAATGTTTTTTCCCCCTAGTTCATCTACATGGTGCTTTTAGGTAAACACTGACATACACCTTTTATTGGAAATAACTAAATAAATTCTATATATATTTATATATATTAGTTATGCTCTTCTTCATTCTTCCTGAGTTCCATTTCCATTGACCTTTCATTAAGCTCATTCCTATAGAATTTTTTTAGAATGGATACCTCTTTTTTTTTTTTTTTTTTTTTTTTTTTTTTTTTTAATGTCCCCCCCTTAATGTGACCCCCTTGCTCCGTTATACCACAATGTATCTGTAGATTACCTTTCTGCTTTTTTTAGAATTTGCACTTTCTCTCCTTTGGTAACTTTCAGTAGTGCTTGCTGTAAGTTTCAAGACTTTTATTTCGTGTCAAATTTTGTGCCAATATTTTAGGGATTTTTTAATCATGTTCTTCAAGTTTCAGTAATCAGTCTATTACTATAGTACATTGCCTTCCCTGAGAATGACAATTTCAGTCTTAGTGGTGTCCCCAAAAGTAACTCTTTCTTCCTTGCTTGTAATCCTATAGTAGCCTTGGACTGGCTTTTTCCAGGCAAAGAATGCTGCTGTCTTACTGAGCCCACTCAGGGTATTTCAGAATTGTTTATCCTTTAGGTGCCACACGGGTCACTGAAATTCCCTGTTGTTTCAACCCAGAACCAGTGAGATGTTGGTAGATTTTGAGAGCAGGAAGCTCTTCAGTTCAAAGGGTTTCCTTTTATTTAAGTTCTGTTAATGTCAAGTCTTCTCACCATATCTCCTCTTTTCTTTCACTTTTTCTCAATTTGCCTGCTGTCAGTTTGATTCTATTTGGAATATCGAAATCTTAGCTGGTCAACATCCACTCAGTTATTGCTGAGCAATATTATACTGATAATACATCTTTGTTCTTATCTGCGAAGAAATAAATGTTATTTTTATAACATTAATATTATAAAAATATGTTATTTTTATAAATATCAAGCCTCTCAGGTGATCTGCCTGGTATTTTCTTGACTTACTTTGCAGAGTTAAATACAAGGGATTTGTAAGGGGGTAAAAAGTAAAGCACACCTGAAAATTAAACAAGGGACTTCTCTAGCTATAACAAGCAGGTGAGGTTTTTAGAGCTGGCTTAAACTAATCCAAAGCCCTGAAAATGAGTCTTCCCACAATTCTTTGATCCTGGCTATGTGTTCTTGCCCTTTCCTTTGGGTTAGTGCAGCTGATCACAGAGGTGGATGGTGTGTTATATTAGCTTTCCACTAAGAAGAGCTGGCACAACCAGCCTGAACTACTCATTCACATTTTGGCAGAATAGGTAAGGTTAAATGGGTATCTGTCCCAGTTGGTTGTCTTGTGCTTTTCTGAACTTGTTTTCATAACAGACACATGCAAAAAGTGTCAGCATTTCCCAGATGGGTGAAAGGATTAATATTTGTAAAGTCATTTATATTTCAGATTTTTTTGGAATTAAACATACTGTAACAATAAAGTTATTGTTGGTCTTCCTCTGAGCACTCCCATTTTGCTTCACAGCCTAATAGCCACCAGAAAAGACATCTGAAAACTTATTGTATTATTATTTATGATACATACAAAACAAATAGAGAAGAAATGTCACAAAATAATTTAAACATACTCAGCTTTAGCACAGAAAGCAAGATCAAACTAATTAAATCCGTATTATCACTTTCTGTACAAACCACACACTGTTTTAATGTGTTGTAAATTCAACTCCCATTAAATGAAGACCTGATTGTGCATACATATATATGTATGAGAGGGGGGCTGGAGAGAGACGAGATGCAAAGAGTCCTTCCTTCTGGGATTTGTTGGAAGCCCCTCTTGGCTACAAGAAGCATTGGGACAGGGACTTGCATGCCTTTGTGCAGTGTCCGAGTACAAAAATGCAGGAGTAGTAGCACTGCTGTCCCTGTTGTTTCCTAAAAGAGGTCTGGTGAGATGGAGTAGGTGAGAGTTAATTACTGATTTGGCACAAAGCATTCTTCTATGTTCTGCTCTGAATCTCCAAGAGACATATTGGCTCAGCTGATCAGATTCCTTTAATAACAAAGCTTCCAGGTCTACTCTGATCCTTCTCTGCTTCATAGCCAATGATGGTCATGGCTTGAGGCCACAGTCTAACACTGTGACTCCAGAAAGAATGTTGTTTTTAATGTCAATCCAATGTTATTTTAAAAGAGAGACAAAGAACTAATGCATTTCCTGGGGTTCCCAACTTTCCTGGATACTGTTCAAGCTGTTTCAGAACTCAAGTGCTTCCTAAAAGCTGTCAGTGAGGTTGTGGCAACACTGCAGTGTCTCAGATGCAGCAGCTATTGAGTTATTTGACAGAAATGTGCTGAAAAATGCCAGCTCACTAAACTTAAAACATTGCCTTCTAAAGACTTCCATTAATATTTGCCATGGTGACAGCCAGGTAGCAGTCTTGACCATTTCCTCAAGTGTTTGCCCAACTGCTGGGGTCACTGAAAGCTGCTGTGCCCACAGGAATGGAGCAGATGTGCCAGACTAATCTTACTTGCATTCAGTTGAGTGTCTGGGCAACTTAAGCTGGAAAGAGCACAACAGAAACGGAGGCGGCTGAAAAAGAGCTATGGGAATACCTTAAAACACTGGTAATTTTTCCAAAAGCATCCTGAGATGTCATCCATAGATAATTTGGGAACAAAGTTAACAATGATATTATGTATTTGCTATAAGCGGGTTACTCATTTGTAGATATACTTCCTTTTCCCAACTATACAATAATACTGGCAGTGCAGAAAAACACTCATTCATATTGGCTGTATGCTTAATGTATTTCTGCAGTCCTGGGCAGACAACTCTTCAAGGCTAAAAATTCAGTTCTTCATTATTAAAAAATACCAGTCCTTGCTATAGGAGTTGATGACTCAGTGAGAATTATAATTATAATCAAAGCATAATAGTCATTTTGAGCCCCTTATTATTGCTGCCAAGAAACTATTTATTCAGCTAAAGAATTAAATCTTTGTTTGTAAGCTCTTTCTTGTTCACAATAGAAATAAAAGTGTGTGACTTGGCTCATGAGCAGATACCAGTCTGGCTATTTTACTCAGAGTGAAAAATAGGCCTTCATGCAGAAAGACTTGGGATACTTAAAACAATTATTTATACATATTTGCCTCTATAAAATCCAATGTTTGGCTGCAATGATGCTTCTGATTGCTCTTCTCCTTTACTGCATGTTGAAGACTCTGTGATGTGCTGTATGTTCAGTATTGCATGCATTTCTGGTACAACTCCCAAAGCTAGAAAATAATTTAGGAAAAATTAAATGCTGGATGCCAAGAAATGAATAAATGGTACAGATGAACTAGATCAATTTTCTTGGTCCCTTACTTACCTGTTGTAATAACAATAAAGCTCTCTGAAAATACCTGACAATCTTACTCTAAGACAGAAAGTGAAAGTGACACACTGAATTATTCAACTTCTTACAAGCCAATACAATAAGAAAAAAGACATTTCAGGCAGCCACAATCAATTTACATCAGCAGAAGAAATATTCTGACTTGCTACAGAGTCAGCTGATGTTCTTACTTTCTGTCTTCTCTAAACATGTGAGTAAATTCAGCATGCAAAGTCTTTTAGTTTTAAGAAAGCTGGGTGGCTTCGTGTAGAGTCTATTGGCTGGAAAAGGCAAAATCTTCAAAAGAATATCACAAAATAAGTTCTCTTCAACCTGAATAAGTATTATGAAGTCAGTTGTGTTGTCAGGTGGTATAATGGAACCCATAGCTCCATGAAAGGAAACAACATCAATGAAGGTAACAACATGCATGACGACCACACCAAGCTAGGACAGTGGAACACCTCAGCAGCTGACCCTTTCCACAATGCCTGCTATACTTATCCAGTTAGGTGAGAGATCTTGGTTTAACTTGGGTGGTGTTTAGAGTGACTCAGCCTTAAAATTTGTTTTTCTTATTGAGGTAGGAGGCCATGGCTTAGAGGATTCCACATATGACCTCATCTTTCTCTGATAGTTGTATTCATTCGATCGGGGAAAGGAGTGCAATGAGTGCACATCACAGTATAGGCACAAACATAACTCAGTTTGACTCTATCTACACAGTTATGCCTAACAGGGAAAACTTTTATGTTAGGGATCCAAAGTTGCAGAGCTTTGGCCAGCTGCTAAAAGAAAACAGTAATTTGCCTGGGCACTTGTCCTAAATCAAGTGCCTTTGCTTGTGTCTTGTATCATATGTGTTTTGTACAGACCTAACTTATTTTAAGGTAATTTATTTTAAAATAAACATGCTGGCCAAGTGTTTCCATGAGTGAATGAGCATGTTCATTGTATATCCGAGTAAGAAAAAATGGTGGGAAAAAATGCTGATTTAAAGTTATTTCTTATCCCAGTAAAATGAGGGATGCTATAAGGTCGCTTTTTATTTCAAACTGTCCTGCTGTTTGGGTCAGATTCTGTGTCTAGTCAGTAAGAATTCTTCCTTTAGCTTCAAGAAGATCAAGATTGGAGCAGCCACAGTAGTCTTAATAAATGTAAATCTTATTAGAAATACTCTCTTTTATAGCAAGTGCCAAGCTGTGCAAAGCTCCAGGCTACATTACCTTATAACATTGACTGAAATGGCAAAAGAATTTACCATCCCGACTAATGAATTTTTTTTAATTACTCTTTGCAAACAGGGTGATACCAAGCCTCTAGTGAGAAGAAAATTAATCCTTGAATTGAAATACACTAGTAAGGCTTAAATAATATTTTTGAAAGTATTTTCTGGTCAGCAGTGTTACTTCTTAAATCAGTCTAGGAAATGCCAGATCTTTTTTTATCTTATTTTTATCAAACATTGAGTTATGGGAAAAAAGCTGCCAACATTTGTGGAGGACTTCTGCTTACCCATTACAGACAACAGCAGAGACATCAGAAATTAAAGTTTCCCCACATCATCAACTCTGCTTTTTATCCTATTAGCTAGGGATGCAGGACCATTCTAGAGGTCTTTTAACTCCACCTTCCCTTGGGCTGTTACTGAGGAATTAAGCTTCCAAGATGCATTACAAGCTTTAATCTTCCTTCTGACCTCAAGAGATGTG